ATCCGGGCAGGTGAAACCCTGAGAGCAGTGGCTGGGAGATCCCCCGCTGTGTTCCCATTCCGAAGCAGAAGCCCAAACCCACCTTTCACAGGTGCCATTTCCACCGTGGCCAAGAGCACTGGTGCATTCAGCAGGGGTAAAGTCCTCACGCTCTGTGCTTGGGAACAGGTACAGGTGCTTTGCTCCAAACCTGGGCTGCGGATGGAGCCAAGAGCCAAGCTGTCACACTAGCTCCTGATGAGCTGCTGGATCAGCTTTGCAGAGGCTGAGCTCAATAGGCAGCCCCTACTACGCCATGCTGTCCCCGCAGGAGACCATGGCCACGCAGCCAGGCTGCAGCCAGCTCAGCCCCTCTGCTGTCTGCTTTCCTGCCAGCATCGTAGGTCAGGCACAGGCAACAGGCACATCCTCTTCCTCCCTGGGGTCTCCTTTGGGTGACGCAGAGCACAAGCAGGGTGCTGTAGCCATCGGAAAGGGCTCCAGACTCAGGTCCAAGATTTGCTCTATCAAGTAAGATTCAGGCACCTCACACCAAAACCATTGCCTACCCTCCCTAGCCCCCCGCCTGCAGAGCAATCCCGTATCTCTGGAAGCCATACGCAAGCAGCAAGCCTGCTTCAGCCCTTTGGGAGGGGGGGTGGGTTCAAGGACGACTACGCAAGCAGCAAGCCTGCTTCAGCCCTTTGGGAGGGTGGGTGGGTTCAAGGAGGAACTCTGGGCTTCAGATTTCGAGTGGCTGGAAATACCTGTCTGTAATCCTAATCCGCCACCTGAGCTCTGGCAAGGCTGGAGTTTCATCCCCCTTCCCTATCAGCTGTTTCTTTTTACTCTTCTGCTTGGGGCTTTCCTGACACCCGCAAATCACCCTGAGGGGCTGGACACCCTGAGGGAAGATGCCTAGTTTGTGCCGCCCGATTACATGTGTAGCTCCAGCTCCCCGTTCAGCAGAACATCCTCATCCACACTGACTAACGGTGCTCTCAACAGGCTGGGGAGATGACATTGAATGGGTGCAGACGTACGAAGAAGGTTTAGCACGATCCAAACACAGGTAATCCTCAGTTCTTGTTATGCCAGTTCGTATGTTGAACTGCACAGAACAAAGCAATGCTCTAACACGATGCTCAGGCTGTGCCTAGTATCTTGCAAGCATGATACAAGCTGTATTTTGCCACACGGTACAGAGGCTGGACAAGATTTTGGTGAGAGGTCACCTTCTGGGAGATGAGCAAACGCCCTTGCAGTGCCTCCAGTGTCACCTTCCCAGTGATACACCCTCTCTGTACCTGACTGTGTCCACACCTCCCTACTAGCCCAGCTGCTATTGCTCCTTACAATGTAAATTTATCCCTGGAGCAACTCAGTGCCATAACACCCTGCACGTGCGGTCTGTAAGAGGTCCGAATTGCCTCCCCACTCCTTTCCTGCCCTGTCGTTTCAGCAAGAAGCCACTGATGGTTATTCACCACTTGGAAGAGTGTCCTTACAGCCAAGGTGAGCAAAGCAAACCCTTCCAAACCACCCGGGGGATCCAAATCTGTCACTCCTCATTCCTTACTCAGCATTTGAGCACTTGGTGTCAAGCCTTTCCAGCACACGCAGGGAAAAGTGGAGAGACAGTAGACCCACTGGAGACCTTGAGAAGAGCTGGGGAGTAAAACAGCTGTAAAGTTTTTCTGGGCAGTAACGTGCTGTGGGTCAAGGCTTCCCTGGCAGACACACATGGCTACAAAACAGGCAGGCAGACACCAAACTTTCCTCCTTTATCTTCTTGCCCACTCTTGATCTCCTGTCAATTATCCTTCCTGCCTACTCCCAACTCCAGTCTTGATCACCAGCAAACACTGAAATCATCAGCTTGCATGATTAAAGCCTGGGGAAGTTCTAGAGGCCCTGAAAGTAGACCGGGTCAAACCAGTGAGGTGAGGCATCGCCTTGCCTCTGTTTGATACCATGGCTTTCAAGTATGTATGCATTCATGACCTGCTCAGCCACTGGGGAGGAAGTCTGCCTGCACATCAGCATTTCAGCTTCTCCAGGACTAAATGTCTTTTGCATTTTCCTTTAGGAGAACCAAGTCCTCCGAGCCTCGTGTGACATTTGCACATCAGAAAGTAATGCCAGTTGTTTACTGATGTATTTGCAATCAATATACGATGATGCAAAACCATGAAAAGCAGCAATCCAGATTATTTTTTCCATGTTAGCAATGCATTTCTCTTTCTTTTAGCTTTAAGGAGAGCATTTGCTTCTAGCCCAGAGATCCAGCAGATGGCTCAGGAGGACTTTATAATGCTCAATCTGGTGGTAAGTCTGAATTTTAAAATATTAAAGTGTTTACTGGGGAGTGGAATAAGCCGTATTAAAAGCAGAAATGGATTCACTTTGCACAGCTTTGAAGTTGTATTTGAAATTCTCTTTTTTCTCCCACTTCTCTGGGGACGTACAACAGGGTTTGCAAAGCACCAACACAGTTCTTCCTTGGAGAGGGAGCAGGGAGACACCTCCATACACACATTCACATACCTACTGGCACAGGAATACCATTTAGTGTTCTCCAACCACAGGTAGTATTCTGATACAAGGGAAAAACACCCAGTCATCAGGTTTTCTGAGTTACCTGCCTGAGGTTTCTGTCCTCGTCCCCCAGCAGCTAGCACAGGACAGCTTAGCCAGAACAGAGAAACACTGTATTTGATCACACCAGAACTGTTAGTTGTTGCAGATGAGGCAAGCTCAGCTGATTCAGCCCATTTCTAGTGCTCGGACAGTTACCTGTTACTAAGAGGCTCTCTAACTCCAACAGTATTCCAGCAGCGATGACAACATGGCGCCCGACGGCCATTACGTCCCTCGGATCCTCTTTGTGGGTGAGTCTCTGGGGTCAGGGGAATAATCAGGGCAGTGTTTTTTTCTATATGGTCCCCACCGAATTCACGTCACTCCAAGCTCTTATTCTCTTGAGCACTGAAGCTGTAGGAATAACCCAGACTTTCAAAAGGAACAGCTTAGCTGGAAAAATCAAAATTGGTCCTTATTTCAGAGCACTTGTTTAGCAATCTGATCTTAAATTAGACATTCAAAACCACTACCATCTTCATAAAAACAGGACTGTGACAGTCTTCTTCCACTAGTGGAAATGAACAGCATGTCACTGCTGTTAACTGCTAGCACATATCCCGTAAGTTTGCTCCTGCCTACGTGGCACCATGTCACGAGATCTGAAGACAGCCTCTTACTCGCAGCTTGTCCTCAGATGAAAGACAAACGCTCTGTTCAAGGGCAGAGCAAAGGCGCATCACCGGTCGTTACCAACAGCTACACAAAAAGCAAACTTACCATCAAACTGCTGGGTATGAAGGGGACAAGGGACAACAATCTTGAGCCACCTGACGAGGCTCATACGTAGAGGATCTACTCATGATGGGTTTCAGAAGTAGACTTCTTTCATTAACTTACAGCTGCTGAGAGCCTGATGCTTCGAGATGTACCTTTCTGGCTATGAAAAAGCCAAATCAACACCATTTTAAAGGGCTTTTATCCTCACAAAATTATTCACCACCACCCCACTCCACAACGCTGGAGGTGCTAATAACTTGTACTGTTTTTCCGCCCCCCTCAAGATCCTTCTATGACAGTTCGAGCCGATCTAACTGGCAAATACGGGAACAGGATGTACACTTACGAACCAGAAGATATTTCGACCTGTAAGTGAAACGGGCTCTGATCCCTTTTTAGCCACCTCAGGTTTCTACAAGACAAATGGGGTTAAAGGAAGAGAATATAAGAGAATCTTGAGAAACGCTGGATCTATTTCTGCAGTAAAGTCTGCTCGAAGTCCTTTATGAACATGAAGTAAATTTAGCGTAAGCGCCTTCGGGGGAAAAAACCATTGCTGAATGTTTCTGAAGAGCAGGGCAGTAAAGTACGGGGAGAGTTGTCCTCAGTGTCCGAGCTCTTGCCGGCAGAGTTTCCACACGCCGTGTAAGTTTGGCCCCCAAACCCCATCTGCTTCGGTTCAAGGCATTTGCAGGCTTGTGCGCACTGCTGCTCTGCTTCATAACCCGAACTGCAGAAGCTGTTTCAACACTTCTTGCCACAGGGGTAACCAAAGTTTAAAAACACCTATTTCATAAGGGACAGCATGAACTCCTGAGGGTTGGTGTCTCTGCACTCCCCCCTGCTGGCTGCCCACTTTAATAACACTTAGAGAACTGCATTTTTCTGAGGTCTCAATCCCCAGGGCGTAGCAAGTTGGATGAGCCAGATTCAAAAGCCAAGGGTAACAGAACAACCCCCTTCCTCCCAGAGAGAAGCAGCCTAATGACAATCCTGCCATTTGGGTTCACAGTCCTCTTTTCCAGTTTTCCACTTCAGCAGCCCACAGACTTCTGTCTGAGACTCAGACAAAGCTTCGAACCTCACAGGACTGCTGCAGAACACAGAAAACCACATCTGTGCCACCCATGAACTCCACCAGATGAACTGGTGTGTTCTAATGGCACTCTGTCCCTGGAGCATTGATTAAAACATAGCATTATCTACACTTCTCCCACCAACAGCAGTTCACAAAACAGTCCAAGGGAAAAAAAAAAAAATTATTCTCCCTAACCAGTGTCTTATTTTCTACAAGCCAAAAGTTAGCAACAGGTTTTGACTGGAATTAAGACAAAATAACTAGTCAAAACTACTCATTAAAATTGAAAAATATAAATTTTTTAAAGACCTTTTAGAAGTCTAGCTATCCAGAGTGTATCCAGAGTTTCTGACCTTAAACTGTGTAGATGTAGGAATCTTCCTTGTCATCCTTAGCATCTCAGCGCTTTCTCCGCAGTGATTGAAAACATGAGACAAGCAAAGCTGCTTCTGCACGCTGAGCTCTGAGCAAGGGGCAGCACCGGTCGGCAGCACAGGACACGCGTGCCGTCCTCGCAGACCTTTGCAGAGAAGCCACGGTCACAAGAACTCGGTGCACCCCACGGGGCAACAGACACCCAGAAGGAGGCACCACCCGCTGATTTTTAAGTAGTGGTTTATCGTAACGACTTCAGGATTGTCACTAATAGGGAAGCATTTTCTTTCAAACAGCTTATAAACTCTTCTTGACCCCAACCACCATAATTTTGGAAAGTATACTTTGATTCTAAACACATTTTCAAAGTTTGTCCTGTGCGTGCACAGCTACCTTGTACTTGTTGCAGTGATTTTTCCACAGTACAATTTCTTTTTTCTCTTTTTTAAGCCGTCTTAGTTTGAAAGCCTTTTAGTATAGTAAGAAACAAAAGCATGCAACTACAGTCTGTATTAAGACAGATTTTGTATTTTTGTTGCTTTGTGAATTGCTGTGCTCACTGCTGCGAATTTCAGAGAACCGTTTTATTATTGTTTGCTAGATTTTTTCCTGTATAATTAAAACAACAAAAATAAAGGATCAGCCCATCTCCTTTCCAGATTTCCTTCCCTTCTTCTCCACGTTACTTCATGTGCATGGCCATAATAAAAAAATCTGTTACTCTGCAGAACTGAGCAAGTCCCCTCTTATCACAACCTGGCCGTTAACCAAGCGTATTCAGCCTCCAGCCGTGCACACTACATCTACGATATGAAAATAAACAACGTGTAAATCACTTAAATTCTGACTGGGGAACATTCAATGGTCCTGTATGCCACCCCAAAGGAAGATCCACGGGTAGATGATAGCTACAGATGTATTCTTCCTACAATAACAGTAAGTTTATTAGCCAACTTAGACACTTATTAAGGAACTCAAACAGCTGTCAGTTTAACAGAATCTATGGTGGCTGTACCTACTCACAATGCAAAAAGAACACACCAACCCCCATTACAGCCTGTCCCTCTCAGGAGCAATAGGAACAAAACAAACCACGCTAGCTACCAAGCACCTTTCTCCTTACGAGCACGCGGGCTGGTGGGTGGGAGGAGGGTTAAACGTCTTTGGGCGTTGAGAACACCGGTGTAACTCACAGAAGGCGCCCAGGAGCTGTCCCATAGGCAGGGGCTGACGGTCAAAACGTGGCTCCGACCAGCAACGGCAGCCAGAGGGGACGGGTACGGCAGCAGAATTACACAGCGGTCTCACCAGCTTCGGCATGAAACACAGAAGGCTGGGTGTATGCAGAACCGACTCCCTGCGATCACCAGGAAAAAGGGAAATAAAGTGGAATTCGAAGACAAGACCTGTGGCAGACTGAGCCCTGGGAGACGCTGCAGACGAGGCAAATGAAAGTGCAAATGCAGAGAGAGGGATCAGCTGTCGGGGCGAGGAGGACCGCTGGGTCACCCAGCAGAGACCGGAGGGCTGGCAGGAGCTCGGAGCAGAGGCGGGAGCCCTTCAGAGGACGGCGAGGGGCTGGGCCCTGCCACAGGACCCGGGGTGTCAGGGGGACCATCCCGGTGGGTGCCAGCGTGAGGGGTGGCACAGCGCAGCTCAGCGAGCAATGCCTGCCCGGGGCTGGGCTGCTGCTGCAGCATAAACCCATGTGGGAAACTAAACGCCATCAATCACTGGAACCAGTACTAAACTCCAGCAAAGCCGGTCAGCAATGAAGCAAGCACAACAGCCTAGGGCCAGTTTTGTTTCCTTTTATCTAAATGTTTCTCCCCAGTGATCCGCAAGGAAATTTTAGCAGAAGCAGGTGGTTAAGCCCTACTGATCATTAGCTGAATACAACCACCAGAGTCAAAATCTGTTTGGGCAGCAATTAAATTTTATAGGAAAGCTTTGTAATGCAGGAATTTATAGATTTGTTAACCACAAAGTTGATACTCTCTTAGAAAGCAACCCATAAATGAGCAAGAAGATTGATGCTCTTCCAAGGCACGAATGCCTAGACAAAACAGAAGCAGAAGCAGCGGTGCTTGAAAACTCCAATGTACCCATCTGCTGGGCCTCCACTGCCCGGCTGGTAACAAAGATCCAAGGAAAGAGCCGTATCATCGTCATGTCCTTTGCATTTCTCTGCACAGGGAGCTGTGCTGCCCAAGGGTCGCTCAGGAAACAGAAAAAGTTAAATTTAGTTGTTAGCTTCCCAGTCACTGACTCGAGGACTGGGAGCTCACGCCTCTTGGTCTCTCCAAGCTTGCTTGAAACTCAGCTTGATATTGTTTCATCCAGATGTGGTGGCCTTGGATACGGCAAGGGCTGAAGATTAACTCTTCCATTACAAGCAAGTTAAGCAGAAGCATTGGCAAAATCCCAAAACCGCAGCTAACTGCACTGGAGGGCACTCCTGGTACCCCCTCCCTCCGCCTTTGGGGAAATGGCCACAGCAGGCAGTGAGCCCCAGAACCACGGAGCTCCTCCCAGGCACGGCCCCCAGCCTCCACGTCACTGCTCGCCTGTCCCAGTCACATCCCCCCCCCGCCATCCCCCTGCCTTCTCAGGGTTTGTACCTGCAACGCCCTTCGGAACACGATGGCTCTGCCCAGGGGCTGCTGGGGGAGAACTGCAGTGAGCGAGCACGACTTTGCTTATTAAACAGGCCTCTAGATGATATATACTAATTCCCTCAAAAAACAGACCAGAGGAATATATTTGTGCACGCACTAGGAGTTTAAACAATGAGGTGTAAGCGCTAGATCCTGCTTTCTGAAAAAGGGGAGAAAACCAAGCTAAAAATCACTTTGACTTGCATCAAAACCCCACTGCTACAACTGAACCCAGGTCTTTGCACAGTGCAACCCCAGCCGGGTTGGGGAAACTTCTCACACGGAGATCGGAATGCTGTCTTAGGAACAGATTTGAAAATTAAAGCTTAATGAAGGTTGTGCCCCATCCAGTGTTAGAAACCAATTCATGCCATTCCCAATCAATGTATCAGTGAGACACAGACATATAGAAATGACTTTTTATTTTGTGAAGAACACTTGAAAAATAAAGATGAAAGCTCTTCCAGGCTTTGGAATATAACCATCAAACTGTGGCATCACAAAGACTCCGTTTTAGAAAGGTGTTTCCTCTCCCCCACCCCCATTTTTATGAACTCTCTCATTGTGGAATGACCCACAATAGTTTTAAGAAAAAAATACGCATTTTGAACCAACATTAGAAATAACCCAGGATCGGTTCAGTGCAGGCGTTGCTACATTACACTTTTAACAAAGGCACATACGAAAGCCCCCATGTTAGTACTTGTAAGTCCATACTTGAATTTCTCCATGTTTCGTATTTTCAAGAAGAGACCAGAGTTATTAACAGGTGGGAAGGCTGAGCTCGGTACAGCTGTCCAGCAAGGAACTGGAGGAATTAAAGTGACAGTCAAGTAAGTGCAATGCAACAGAACAATGTGCAAACACAAACCTTTCTTGCTTACCTTAGTAACCAGCATGTGCAATCACTTCTGTAAACCCCGGCTCGCAAGAACACTTGCTGATATGGAAGAAGGCGACAAACAATCAGATGGGGAAAGCAATCGGCTGCCCTCACCTCAGTCGGAAAAATCTATCCATAAAACTAGGATTTCAAGACTCAAGTAAATCCTACCTACAACCAAAACAGCGAGGAAATTAAAATATGCCCTTCTTGAATGAAAAGGCTTAAGAAAGCACAGAACCACCTGCTGAATTTTACAGATACGCAATGAAATAAATACTAAACAAATGCTCCAAGGTGCTTTTTTTTTTGCTGATAGCTGAGAGTGTCAGTTTCTCTCTTGAAGCTGTCTGAAATACCAGAATATTGTTAAACAATAAAAGATAAAGGAGAGATCTTCTCACATTACTTCTCACATCCGCCAAAAGTTTAGTAGTCTGCTGTACTGGCATCTTCCTAATACAAAACTTTCTACACATACATGAAACAGGTTAAATGTTTACAGTATTCCCCAAAAGGGACTTCCATTTTGTCTTCTCATTACCACAAACTTAATTCAGGACCCTTTGGGCTATGTTCAAAAGCTATTTTTGGACAATTGCTCTGCTCATTTCGGAAGAGGTTTCAGGACACGTGTGCAGTTCAGCAAGGCTCTGCAGTGTGTTCAACAGCAGGCTGCACTCGATGCGGCAAGCCATTTGCACCGGTTCCCAGCTGTAAAAGACAAACACGCTAGATGCCACCAGCACGTGACTGCTGCACAGAAGTGTCCACGTGTTATCTTCTACCGTTCCATTTTCACCTGATCATTCAAAACACGTTTAGAATTTGATTATAAACAATTAACCACCCCACTGAGAGTTTGGGTTAACTTGTCAGCACTAGCTGTGCTCAAAGAAAATCCTGAATGTGATGGGAAATTAAGTTACGAAGAGTCCTGTACAGTGGGGGAAACACAGTTTAAGTATTGTAAGCATTAGAAAAGTTTCGATAAAGATGCTAAAACGTCAGCTTCTGGTAAACTCCGATTCCCAGCCTCAGCGCTAAGAAAAATATGTTCTCTCACCAGCCACTCACATGCGTTCTTAATCTTGAGACAGAATCTCACAAGCATTCAGCAAACATTAAGAACCTTTGATACTGAGTTCAGCTGGTAGACAGACACACACGCTCTTCTGTTACAGAGGCTGTGCATCAACTTTCTGACACCTAAAGAAACTTTTTCTCAAATGCAACAAAGAATATTAGAACACCTGAAAAGATAAAAAATGAGGCAAAATCCTCTGAATAAAAGTGCTGGAAATAAATACAAGCCGTTTTCCCCCAAGTACAACAAAATCCAATGAAGACCAAATATCCGATCTGCCAATTTTTTCCATCCGTTTCGTTTGTTAATGAAGCTTATGGACAACAAAAAAGCCCAAGTGACCTTAAAATATAAGGTTACTGCACTGTTGTTCTGTATAACAAAAGGTCTTCAGGTTTTAGACCTCGACAGATTCTGAACTTGCTCTTTTTTTAGGCCAATTTAGTACACTTTGTCTAGAGAATTCCACATTTCCTTCATTCCTGAAATCTGACTCTAGTTACTACAGACTTAGTTTTATATATAAGGAGACAAAAGCCAATTCTGGTGTCGCTAGTAACTTCAGTGGTCAGAGATAGAAAAAAAAAATTCTAAAAAGATATGATTACGACTGCATGAAAAAACCCAGGAAACTCCGTAGTGATGGTGCAAGACATCAGCATCTGACCAAAAAAGCATTTAAGGTGATTAGAAAACAGTCATCAAAAGGTTATACAATATATTAATCCGTTTTCTCAAGGATAAAGTGCATTTACCTAGCCTGAGAATCAGTACCACAATTAATACAGGGATGCTAAAGCACTTCCCCAGAGAGATTAGAAGAAAATCAGTCATGCTGAATCCTACATCCAGTTTGTCTCAGTCAGTCTCCAAGACACTTCGCGAAACACCCTCTTGCTGGTCCAGTTGAGGTACTCCATTCTAATTTAGAACATCGGTAACACGGTCTGGTCAACAAATCACCTCCTGGTGCTATCTGAAAACGCCCACATTGATGGAAAGAGCCACTTCTGGTTTATGGTGCTTAATATTCAGCTTTTCCTCTGAGAAAACATGGTCCTGTAAGCGTTCAGCTTGCCGACTATTAAAAAAGAAAAATCAAGATGCCTAATATTAGTGCTGAGCCTTAGCATCGACAGCAGGACGAGCCTGCGATGGAACCTGATTTCCACTTAGCTGCGAGAATGACACTGTAAGCTCACGCTTAGGACCTGCGCAGGGTCAGTGCAGCCAGGGAGTTCATTTTTTACCTCCAGAGGCAGGGCCAAACGTTGCGATGTGTTGCAAGAGAAAATATGCTGAGGCTCAGTATAGGAACATGGCACTTAAAGCCAGGAGTTCGAATTACCTGAGCACTTCCTTCAGGACTACTGGAACTGTGTGCTCTAAGAGCACCCAGCTAGCACGGTCCCCCAGAATTATCCAAGCATCAAGCTAGTCTGAAAAGCAGCAGAGGACAGTTCGCCTCTTTTAAAGAAAAAGAAACTGAAGTACTCAATACCTTTTCTTTTTTTCTAATGCAAGTTGCTGTTGCTTCTCTTTTCCAACGTCATCTCTCACTGTGCTGAAGTCCTTACTGTCATCAAGGAGGAGATTCTGTTGTGAAAAAGGATTTAGCAGATTAAAATTGCAAGCTCAAACTATTTCCCACATGTTGCTCAATCTACACAATTAATTCTCAGAGCATTTCCTCTAACTAGCTTTACAGCAATTACCTTCAAGTTAACTACGTGGCAAAGACACAAACAGGCAAAAAAATTTTTTAGACTCCTCTGTTCAGTTTTTGCATTTAACAGTGAATTTGCCTCATTCAGAGATTTCTCTCCATAGTCCAACGCATCAGGACAGGACATCAGACTTTTCATGCGCTGCTTTAAAACCCAGCAAGGATGTTCTTTCAGAGGTCTCCCACATAAGCCTTATTGTCATTTCTGAGCTCAATATGCTACTGTGTAATTCTTTTTTAGATAATGAAATAGATCTCTAATAATTCTTTGGAAAATGTAACGGGTAAAAACCATATTTTAAATTTAAAAAGGGCACTGTTCTTGGATTTTACTCCAAGTTGGAAAAAAGACAGTCAATAAAATGAGGGCAAGAAAATAAGCCCGTTTCTTCAGGATAGTGTTCAAGCATAAGCAGAAACTGACTGCCTGCACTGCCTGAGAGTGGCCCAAGAGCCTCTAAGGTTTTACACTCCAGTGCCCGTTCCAAGATATAAGGGGAAAAGTATGAAACTTCCCTCAGGTTGGTGAAGAACAGGAGAAAAAGAAGAAAAAGCACCAGTAACAACAAATTTCCAATCCACTCAATGTATTGTCCAGATTCACATACCAGTACTTTCACAGAGACATAGTGGGATGCAGGAAAAACAGGAAGAAATTAAGATACTGCAAAGGGAACAGTGCCTGCACCTAATCCTTGTGCAACAACTAAAGCCAAGTTAATTTACCTTCACTCCAATGATATCTCCATCTTTCAGGTGATAAGGCGCTGACTGTAAACTCTCCTGTTTTTTCTTCCGTTTCCTCTTTGAAATTTGCTTTGTCTGAATAAAATCAAAGCAGAAGATTCGTAAATGGTACATTTCAGGAATTTGCTTAAATACTTTTGCTCAAGAACCGCAGCACAAACCAACAGATACTTCTCTCAAAACAACAGTTGGATTCTGTCATTCCAGATCTTACCCAGCTCGATATCGGCAGCCACTCAAATCTTTCGGGGAAGTATTTGGCTATTTCAATTTTATCTACAGGTAGACAATAGTGAGAAGCTACTCGTTGCCTCAGTGCCCACGTTGTGCACTCTTTGGAGATATCCCACACCAAATCCATGGAGTCATAGTAGTCCCTCTCGCCTGGTATGCCCATCTGGACTCGAAGCAGCAGTTCCTGGGGGCTGTCATCAGGAAGAGAAAATAGACCGTTCTTGTGAATCGTGCTTTCAGAATACACAATTCCCAGTTTTCGCTTCCTCCTGCCTCCCTTATTTTTGGTTGTGGAAAACAAGAAGGAAGCTCCGAAGTCTTCTCGCATACTGACATATCTAATCCTGACAGACAGGGCTCAAGTTAAAAGCTGCTCAATTAAGTCTCATCTCAAACGCATTCCTGTAAGAAATAAGTATCTTGAGATCTTACCCCAAATGCTCTTCTTTTTGCAAAGGTTCTACGCAGATTTCCACTCTAGCACCCAGCTTATAGTCACTGAAAACAAAACAAAGACTATAAGCAGCATTTCCAGTCATATATTCGAAGTTCTTGAGTAGAAAAATCACTGTTTTAGTCAAGTAGACCTGTGCTTATCTGCAAAACCAAAGCAAGAGGCTACTGGAACAAAAATTAAAAACTCAGAAAAGTACTGTCCTGGGTTCGACCAGGACAGGGTTAATCTTCATCAGGCACCAGGAGGGAACACAGCGGGGTGGGCTGACCCAGCCTGGCCAAACAGAACAGGGTATTCTATACCATGGGGGAGCTGGCGGCCGGAAGGAGTCACAGCTCGGGAGTGCGCAGCGGCGGTGGGCAGTGAGAGTTGCTCTCTGCGTTCTGCTGTTTGCGTTGTGTATTCTCCTTATCTGAACAGTTGTTGTTACCGTTTTCTTTGTTTGCTGTTCTGTTAACTGCCCTTATCCTGACCCACCAGTTTTTGCCTGTTTGCTTTCTATTCTCCTCCGCAGCCCAGTGGGGGGAGGGGCGGCCACGTGGCCCTTTTGTTGCCAGCCACAGCCAAACTATAACAAGTACAAACATGGCATTTAAAAACACCTAAAATACAGCTTAGCATAATAAGCATTGAATGATCTATTTATGCTCACACCTCCCTCTTCCACAGCTCTCGAGTTAAAAAATGTGTGAAGTAACCAGAAAGGAGCTTTCTGTTGACATTTGACTGAGCTGCTTCATTTCCCCACCAATCCATCCCGCAATCCAGTCAACAGTCAGTCTGTTGCAAAGCTACCTGCATGTTCAATAAGAAACCTACTTGAGTTGCTGCTTGTTGTTTCGTAAAAGCTTGCCTGGGCGCTTACTGTCCACTGTCCATGCTCTGAGAAACGAGGGCAGTGGGACAACCTGCTCCTGGAAGCATGGTAAGGTGATCACCTGAAAAGAGAGACATATCTTCAACAACTTCAGCAGCTAGTCTCCTTGAAAAAAAGATAACCCCTTGACTAATTCTCAATGCAGTACTGAAGCAATCGGAAACAGGGCAAGGTATTTAGATTTGTCCCACACCAGCTGCTGCTTGAGACTTACAGGTAGTGACTAGGATTGACATATTTGCTTTTCAACCTCAAAGCAAGTTTGACTTCACTCCCTCCCAACATTTCTCAACTTAACTTACATTTCAAAAGTACTGAATTTCTTTTTTTAACCAAAATTGTACAACTGGGAGGGAATGAGGCTGACAAAATCATTACTCCAATCTCTAGCCAAGTGCTGAACAAGCTTCTTTAAGCCTTTATCAAGGACACCATAGCCTTTCCATGCTAAGATAGTTCTCCTTGTTCACAAGATGCAAATGGTCAGTTTTTCATAGCACTAGTTTGGCAGAGACTGAGACTGAAGTGGTACCCAAAAGAGTAAGTGTTGGTATGGATCAAAATCAGATGAGACTTCCCCAGGCAGTGTAAGTAGAACAAGCAACTGGCTAAACAATAAAGAGCCTTATGACAGTATTAGGTTATGTCTTCCTGTGGTTTTGCTTTGTGGGGGGGTTTTGTTGGGTTTTGGGGTGGTTTTTTTTTTTTTTGCTTTGATTTGGGTGGGTTTTTTTGTTTTGTTTGAGGGTTTTTTAGTGGTTTAAAAGAACACTTTTATGGTTAAAAAAAGCATGAAAAGGCACCTTAGTTTCTGGCCAAAGAAACTAAGTTATACCTTCCTGAACGACAAACATGACCTTCTGTGCATCAAAAGCAATTCTCTATTCATTAGATTCAACATACAAAAAAAAGAAAAAAACAACAAACCAAAAAAAAACCAACGCGGAAAACTAATATAGGAACAATGCAGAAATGGAAAGTGGCTTTTTAGGAAGTGCTTGTATATGTGTGTGCTTCTCATGAATAATTTGTACATTGTGAAATAAAGATCAGGCTGCAAGCCAAAGTTCCAGATGAAGTGCAACAAGGCTTTTGCAGGTCAGGACACATGACAGGTAGAATGGCAACTGCAGGGGACATACTAAGGAAGTCTCTGAGCTACATGCTCCAACTGCCTCTTGGTACTTACCACCGAACATGGCATATAAGCAAATGCCATATCAGAACATACTGGAGACAAGGGAAAAGGAAATAGAAAATAATGATTAATAGAGCTCAGTGAATCACAGTGTTGCTGTACATTTCCAATACAGGAGAAATCTAACCTGCATCTTCAGATCTTCCAAAGAAGCTTCTCCTGCTATTTCTATACTGCCAGCATAACAAAGATCCATGTCTGTGTGGATGTATTCTGGTGAATCTTTAGATGGGGGGAAGAGGAGGAAGGAAGAAAGAAACAACACAAGAGTCAACATGACTTTGTTTATCGTCCTAAGAGATGACCATCACTTCAAAGTAAGGTTTCACTTAGAAAAGTGACCTGACCTCACTGTTTTTTTAGAGGGCAGTTCAAGAAACGTAATACACAGTTGATAAAATACAGTCTGTTAGCTGCCAAACAGGAAGAGCTTCAGCTGATCCTATACTGCAAATTTCAAAATGTAGACCAGTTACTCAAATTGGTAAATAGTATGAATTATTGGTTATGACTCTGAAATGTAGAGCATGTTGCAAGGAAAGTCAAATCTGCTCTTACCTATGCTACTGAAATCATCAGTCGAGAAAGTAAAACTCAGAAAAAGTTGGAGAAAAAGGAGAAAATGAAAATAAACCTTCTAAAAGGGAGAGGGGTCCTGCTCTGCAACAAACGCAGTAGCAAAGGAGGAATGTTCTTTTTCCTGTAGAAAGGAAAATCGGTTTGTTTCCCATTTTCCAATTCACAGTTGTCCCCACTTCATTTTCTTTTTTCTTCTCAACCCTCACTTGATTTTCCTATCCTAGCTGGTTTCTGATTTGGATTTGACCTTTAGAAGAACAAACACCGGTTAAAATACTGTATGTAATGTCTTTTATTCAGTGTCAGATTTACTCATTACTCCTTTTACAGCTTGTCAAAAAGCAACAAAGCCTGAAGTGAATTAAATGTGGTACTAGGGGTCTGGCATTTGAAGCCAAACACCTGTATGCTCACTGAGAACGTGCTTTACAGTACTGCCAAAGCCATTTTACTTATTGACAAGTAAAGAGCCCCTGCTTCAAAATTTAGTGGGGGTCTTACCCTTCACCAAATATAGCTAAGGAACGTCAAACAGTACCATCCAGTATTCGTGGCCTGGTAAAAAAGTGCATCTGTCTCCTAAGTGGATCCTTTCACCAAAAACTTGCTGAAACTCGTACAGTCACTCGTAGGTTTCAGAAGCATTTTAAGGCTTTGGATCAAAATCATAGTTTTCACTCAAAGCCCTCGGTGCAATCACCATCAGGCCATACGACTCCTTTCAAAAATGGATCAAGCTCACCTCCTGCAGAAGACACCTGCAAAGCATCCATCTTGCAGGTCATCCCATTCACTTGTTCTTGTGTATTTTCTGCATGTTTCTTAGGACTTGAAGATTTGAACCACCAAATGGGTATTTTCAGGAAACCCTGAAAAGTGAACAGAAAGTACCAGGTAGCTCATGTGTTCCAATGCAGACAACGAAAAAATTTACCTTTATCTCAGGAAGAAGGAAAAGTCTGGTTCAACTCTGAGCTTTTGTAAAAGCACTGACATTCAGCTAAGATCACACATCATCAACTCTCACTTCCTACTTTTACAGAGACTAGAGCTTTATGTAACCCATACAGTGGATAAAGATCAGATGCTTTAAGAGCAGTATTTATGAAGAACTCCAGAACTTGCTGGATAAACTGGGAGTCTCGTAATGCTAAGTCTCTGCAGAAAAGCTTTGGCATGAGAATCACAAAAGCACAATCTATGTGAAAACACAAGTTCATAGCGAAAGGGTTGATAGCAATGGGTACTGGCATATCACAGCTGTCAAACTAGATGAGGACTGGAGCTAGTCCTATCGCTGCCTACAGGAATAACCAGCATCGGTGGTCTCCCTTAACTCCTCTACAACCATCCCTAGAAGATATCTCTCGACAAAGCAGAATAGTTCAAGTTTGTCCTAGGACCAGACTTCTGTTACTTTTGAAGATATTCACTTGCAAAGAATCCCTCCAACTGGCTTCTCGTGTTGTGCTGGCACCTCAGCCCCAAGGATGCCAGGCCCTCTCCTCCCCTCTCCCTCACGGCTCAGTGCAGAAGATGTGGCACCCCTCCATGCTCCAGGGGCAGGACTGGGGGACAGGGAAGAAGGGCCCACACGACACTCAGCCATTGGCTATTCTTAAAGGGAGTGCTAGGAGACCTTGTGCAGTGTGGGTGTGCCTGCAGGATGTCCAGATGCTTTGCCCCCTCTCAGCCCCTGTTGGGCATGGAGGGGCTGCACCATGTGCAGGGAGCTGGGTGGGTGGGGAGTCACCGAGGACACCCAACTCTCCTGCAACACTGGTGCCACCACCTCATCCAGGGCACCCCAGGCATGGGATGAGGAGGGGGCTGGAGTCCAGGGCACACCAGCGGAGGTGGAGGACAGCCCCAGGAAAGGGGCCCTCAGCCCCCCCTTACCCTTCTCCTCCCATATTAGGGCATGTTTCAGGCCACAGGCCCCCTCAACTCCAAAACCAGCCATC